CAAGGCCTTTTGTCTCCGAAGGGCATCTTTATCAAGGCCTGGCCCCAGTTGTTTATCTTGCCTGGTGGAAGACTTGTTTGGGATTGCCTTCCTGCGGTTCAAGACTTCCCTTGGCCTCAGTGATCAGATTCGTGATTAGAGGACCTGTGCTAGTGCTGGGAGTGGGTGACTCACACCAGATTTACTGCCAGCTTCTCTCATTTTCCTAACTGCTGCCTTCAGTGTCTCCATCTCGGGAGTGCTAAGGCTGTACCCCAGGGTCTCCAATGTGGTAAGTGAAGAGCCCCTAGCTCCCTTCCAGTCACTCAGATTGTCACAATGGCAGATCAGGACCCTGGGAATACTAGCCAGTCAAGCCCCTCTACCAGCAAGGTTCTTTCCAGGCAGGCAGGCAAGGCTGCAAGGGAGGCCCTAAAGGCCAACAAGTCTTCCACCAGGCAAGATAAACAACTGGGGCCAGGCCTTGATAAAGATGCCCTTCGGAGACAAAAGGCCTTGGAAAAGCAATTCCACAAGGCCCAGCTGAAAGCCCAGGCCTCCAATCAGGCCCCCACCAGGGATCCCTCTCCAGAGGTCAGACTAGAACAAAGGCCTCCCATTTCTGGGAAGGGCAGGAATTCTCTCCTCAAGCTTCTTTAGCCATGGCAGTTTCTCCAGGGTCCCAGGGGGCTTCAATGGTTGACCACGCAGATCTTTTTGAATGACTCTCTGAGGGAGAAGGGGATCCAGTTCCCTCGAGTCACCTGGTCTCACAGTTTCCAGTCACTCAACCTCCTCACAGGGGGAACCCTGTGGAAGATAGGGGACCTGATCTATCAGTTGAGATGCAAGATGTCATTGCCAGGGCCATATCTCAGGGCATTGAGAGTGGGATGTGCCAGCGAGGCAAATGCCTGCACAAGACCCATCACATTCAGACACCGGCCCCTCCCAAAGAGGTTGTGCAAGGCCCACAGCCTGCTTCTCTCCACTCCTTGTTGGATAGCGAGGACTCTGCCTGGGAGGAAGATATCCTTCCCAACCCTGAGCCTGAGTTCTCAGGGGAGAAATCTGCTGTCCCTGATAAGCCTGCCTTCTCCGGCTAATTTCAAGACTATATTGAATAAGGCGAAGGCCTCTACCCATTTGGGCTCTACCACCCTGGAACAGGCTGCTCCTGATCCCTCGGACCTCAGTGAAGGTTTGTTCAAGGAGCCTGTTCAGGCTCAGGAAATTGTGTCTATTCCCAAATTATTCCTCAATGTAGTGCAGAAACAATGGGCACACCAGCTACCCTTGCCACCCTCATTGGTAGTGACAGGAGGTTGTACACAGTGAATGCTAGTCTAGAAGACCTGCTGAAGCTGCCCCAGTGGATGAGCCGGTGGCTGTGCTCACTTCTTCCTCAGTGCTTCCTCCCAATCTCCTGGAGGGTCTCAAAGCAGAGGACAAAAGAGCAGAGAAGGCCTGCCATAAAGCTCAACAGGTGGCTGCTTGGGCGATTAAGATGTCCGCCTCTGCTTCTTTCCTCTCCAGGGCCTCTCTCCTCTGGCTAAGACAGTTGTTCAC